TATGAAGTCAGCCAAAATATGGTTGTTCTTAACAAGATTTTTCCCTTTCTGCTGGACTTCAGCATTTTGGCTGTGATGTATCTGGGTGTGATTTTCTCTCTAATAATCCTGTGTGGGGTCTGCTGGGTTTCTTGGATGTTTACTTTATGTTTTTCACCAAAGTTTGGAAATCTGTCACCTTTACGTCTTTAACCATTTTTTTTCTACCTCATTCTCTCTCATCTCCTTCTGGAGCCCCAGTTCCACATGTATTCCAGCGTGATGGTGCCCACAGGTGCCCAGGCTCTCTGTTCATGCTGCTACAATCCTTTTTATCTAGTTGCTTCAGACTGGGCCATTTCTACTGCTGTATATTCAAATTCACTAATTTTCTTTTCAGCCATATCCAATCCACTTCTAAGCCTATGCAGTGAAATTTTCATTTCAGTTACTGTACTTTTCATTTATTACATTTTCATTTGATTCTTTTTATAGCCTATGTTTTTCTTCTTAGATTCTCCCATCTGTTCATTCCTTATAAGAATGTTTTTCTATGGGCTGGGTGTGGTGGCTCACACCTGTAATCCCAGCACTTTGGGAGGCCCAGGCAGATGGATCACAAGGTCAAGAGATCGAGACCATCCTGGCCAACATGGTGAAACCCTGTCTCTATCAAATATACAAAAATTAGCTGGGCGTGGTGGTGCGTGCCTGTAGTCCCAGCTACTCAGGAGGCTGAGGCAGGAGAATTGCTTGAACCCAGCAGGCAGAGGTTGCAGTGAGCCAAGATTGCACCATGCACTGCGGCCTGGCTACAGAGTAACACTCCATCTCAGAAAAAAAAAAAAGTTTTTCTTTAATTCCTTGAACATACTTGGAACAGCTGTGTAAGATTCTGGCATGCTGGGTTGGGCGTGGTGGCTCATGCCTATAATCCCAGAACTTTGGGAGGCTGAGGTAGGTAGATCACCTGAGGTCAGGAGTTCAAGACCAGCCTGGCCAACATAGTGAAACCCTGTCTCTACAAAAACACAAAAATTAGCTGGGCGTGATGGCAGGTGCCTGTAATTCCAGCTGCTCAGGAGGCTGAGGCAGGAGAATTGCTTGAACCCAGGAGGTGGAGGTTGCAGTGAGCTGAGACCGTGCCATTGCACTCCAGACTGGGGGACAGAGTGAGATTCTGTCTCAAAAAAAAAAAGATTCTGGCATGCTGATTGCAACATGTAGGTCGTTTGGGGTCAGTTTCCGTTGCCTGCATTCTCTCTAGAGAACAGGTTACATACCTGTCCCTTCACATTTTTTTCTGTGTGCTGGACATCATCAATGATATGTTGTAGATTCTGTTGTCTTTCTCTGAGAAGTGTTGATTTTATTCTAAGAGAAACTTATTTTCACTGGACTCAAATCCCAAACTCTGTCTCCTCCAGGATGGGCTGGAGTTCTCTCGGCTGTTCGTGTCAGGCCTGGACCCTGTCCTCTACCACCCTGAGCCATGGCAAGATTAAGATGTGCCCTTGGGGGAAAAAATCCACAGGCTCTTCGTCTCACCCCTTGCAGATCCAATGTTACAAGGGTAGATTGCACACAGTTTCTTCCTGAGGGGCAGGGAGTACACTGGGTCCCCAGGCCTGGTCGTGTCATCACACAGGGGAGGTGAGGCCTCCTGGTGATGTTGCCATGTGTCCTTCACTTTAGAACCCACCCCCTACCCACATACCCACCAGCGTTTCTCCACATTGCTCCATTCCTCCGAGTTCCTGATCCTGATCCCTGCGTGCCACTCCCTGGGAGACCGAGGGCAGTGTCTCACCCCTATCCCAAGGGATCCCAGGCCCTCATCCTCCTTCTCTCCCAGGCTCCCAGCCATAAGCCTCTGCCAGGACCCTCTTGAAGCCCTGCTGGTCATTGCTGCCTTGGGCATGAATGTCAGTTTCCTGGGATGCGTGGATCTCTCCAGCTTTCCTACACCATTACAGGTAGATCACACGAATGTCTCCAGCTGCGGCTCACACACAGCCAGGCATCCTATGTGGTTCCGCATTCACGGGTTGTGTCCCTTCCAGCCTCAGCCCTTCCATGACACCCCCAATATTCATGACTCCAGAGTAAGAGCTCCGCTGCAAGTCACACAAACCACATGCCCAAATATAGGGTAAATATAGAGCTCATAAAACGTGAAATAAAACGTCTTCTATCCACCCACCTGGGCAGACATTCCTTTAAAACAACAGAACTGAAAAACACAGCGAAAGCCATGGCTTCTCATATAACCAAACAAAAGCAACGCATCAAAACCGACACTCTGCTGCCAGCGTCTGGGGAATGGCGGCCGTCAGCTGTGCCTGCCTGAGTAACAGCAGAGGGACGCACACTGTTCACAAATGATGACACTTCATTCCCCAAAATAACTTTTCCTGAACTCATTTCAGCAAAATCTCTAATTATGTTGTTATAATCCAGATTTCCATATAATTTACGTTCTATTTTCAATTTGGAGAAACTTTTCCTGATGAAGCAGGAAGCAAACATAACTGTCAATACCATTTTTCAAGCAAATATTTATAGTTGGAAAAGAGACACCAATTTCGTGTATGAATTCTAACATCATTATGGTGCAGATTATTGTTGTCAGAGAAAATATTGCAAACTCCTTACTTTTTTTTTTTGAGACAGGGTCTTTCTCTGTTGCCCAGGCTGGAGTTCAGGGGCACAATCTCAACTCGGGATTCTGCCACCTCAACCTCCTGAGTAGCCGGGATTGTAGCACCTGCCACCACACCCAGCTAATTTTTGTATTTTTAGCAGAAAGAGACGGAGTTTCACCATGTTGGCTAGGCTGGTCTTGAACTCCTAGCCTCAAGTGATCCAGCCACATGGCCTCCCAAAGAGCTGGGATTACGGGTGTGAGCCACTATGCCTGGCCCAAACTTCTTAAATCTCATCACAGAAATCACTGTCACATATAGCAAGATTTTCACCATCTCTTAAAGCAACACTAGATTCATACAGTAATATGTCTATTTTTTTAAGACAGGTCTTGTTCTGTCGCCAGGCACCAGGCTGGAGTGTAGCAGCGCAATCTCGGCTCACTGCAACTCTGCCTCCCGGGTTCAAGCAATTCTCCTGCCTCAGCCTCCCAAGTAGCTTGGACTATAGGCACACAACACCACGCCCACCTAATTTTTGTATTTTTAGTAGAGGCAGGGGTTCCACTATGTTGGCCAGGATGGTCTCGATCTCTTGACCTTGTGATCTGCCCACCTCGGCCTCCCAAAGTGCTGGGATTACAGGCGTGAGCCACTGAGCCCAGCCTCATACAGTAATTTCTAAAGCCCTTCTTTCAAATTTGTCAGTGCTGAGACATTATGTAAGTACCAGAATACCACTCAGTTTATTCAGTCTCTCAATTGAGATTATGCCTTAAAGTGGTAGAAAATAATCCATATAGATCATTTATGATGATTTATATGTGAATTGTCTTCTTCATCATGGTATCAGTCCATTCTCATGCTGCTATAAAGAAGTTCCCTGAGACTGGGTAGTTCATAAAAGAAGGAGGTTTAATTGACTCACAGTTCCATCTGGCTGGGGAGGCCTCAGGAAACTTACAATCGTGGTGGAAGGGGAAGCAGGCATGTCTTACATGGTGGCAGGCAAGAGTGAGCAAGAGCAGGGAAAACTGCCTTATAAAACCATCAGATCTTGTGAGAACTCACTATCATGAGAACAGCATGGGGGAAACCACAGCTATGATCCAATCATCTCCCTCCCTCAACACATGGTGATTATGGGTTCCTCCCCTGACATGGAGATTACAATTTGAGCTGAGATTTGAGTGAGGACACAGAGCCAAAACATATCAATCATCATGCAAATGTTTTCATTTCCTTGTTCTAATTTCTTTAGATTTTACCAGAATGTTATTTTTATTGCTTATTTTACGTGAAGTCTTTGTAGTAGACAAAAGCCATTTTCTCTCCAATTAAAAATTTTATTTAAAAAATGTTTAGGCCAAGCACAGTGGCTCATGCCTGTAATCCCAACACTTTGGGAGGCCAAGGCGGGCAGATCACCTGAGGTTGGGAGTTCAAGACCAGCCTGACCAACATGGAGAAACCTCGTCTCAACTGAAAATACAAAATTAGCTGGGTGTGGAGGCACATGCCTGTAGTCCCAGCTATTCAGGAGGCTAAGGCAGGAGAATTGCTTGAACCTAGGAGGTGGAGGCTGCAGTGAGCCAAGATTGCACTATTGCATTCCAGCCTGGGCAACAAGAGTGAAACCCAATCTCAAAAAAAGAAAAAGAATCTAAACATAAAATAGTCAACCTTCTTTCTTTCCTTTTTTGGGGGATAAGCTTTTGCTAATGTTATCAATAGCCATTAACATATCAAATGACTGGGAGAGAGCATGTGTAAAATTAATTTCATTTTCCTCTGAAGACCAGAATTTATTTTTATCTGAGAATATTCTGCTATTTCCCTTAACTCTTCTAATCCATTCTGAATACTGTACAAATTCAGTCCGATTCTTTTAACAGCATTTAGCTGACATTCTTTTGTGGTTCTAAAGGTGATGATAAGGTCAGATATGAAAGGCATGGAATAAAGATGCTCCATCTTTGGGCAGATGCAGAAACTATCAGATACAGCCCTTGGAGTTTTCCAAAGCACGTCCTCCCTCTTGGCATCCTCGAAACCACATCTCCTGACAACACATTCAAACTCTGCGCTGCACTTGGCCCAAAGGCGGCTTCTAGGCTTCTGGCCGCTCTGTCGGCTTGTATACCTCTTTCCTTACGCATCGTGATAGCACCATTACCACAGCCTCCCCTTGACGATCTTTTATAATATCTCACTAAACTGGGCAGGTGCACTGGCTCACGCCTGCAATCCCAGGACCTTTGGAAGCCGAGGTGGGCAAATGACCTGAAGTCAAGAGTTCGAGACCCTGACCAACAGGGTGAAGCCCCATCTTTACCAAAAATGCAAAAATTAGCCAGGCGTGATGGCACAACGTACCTGTAATCTCCACTAAGGAGGCTGAGGCAAAAGAATTGCTTGAACCCAGGAGGTAGAGGTTGCAGTGAGCCGAGATGGTGCCATTGCACTGGGCAACAGAGTCAGACTCCATCTTAAAAAAAAAAACAAAAAAAAAAACTAAGTGAGTCTAAAATTGTTATTTGATTTTTTGAAAATTTAATTGAATCTTGTTAAATTAAAGGGCTCACTTCCTGTGCTGTGTGAGATGTGGCCCTGTCTCCAAGTAAACGTAAGGACCCCCAGTCTTACAAAATGCTCCTCCACCTCCACGCAGCCCTGTAGCAGCTGGTCTGCTAATGTGTGAGAATCTCTAGAAACAATCACAAATAGTAAAATATGAAGAAAAGCAAGATAAATAGACACTGGTGCTTGTTAGGAAACAGAATTCCATTATGTGAGACTCTGTGGCATTCATGCCACCTGAGCGGAAGAATGAGACTAGTTCATTAACTCTTCCTTTACCCTGACCCGAGCAGGTTCAACTATACATTTCTATAAGATTAGGACTCCAGCAGATGCCAGGACATTTTGATGGCCTAAATTCCCAAGAGAGACCAGCCCTTCTTATAGAGCAGAGAGTGGCAGCAACTTCCATCCCTGGAACAGGAGGCTGGTCTGTACGTTAAAACAGCAGATGAAGGAGCAAGCCTGCCACAAAACGGGAGACTGAGACGATGAAGAGAGAGCAGCCCAGTCCTAGCGGATGTGTCACTCAGCGCAACCAGCCTGACCGCTCCCATCCAGCCTCCACTTCAGCCATGAAAGCAGTGATGGAGGAGAGGCTGGGAAGCAGGGAGAAACCACTCAGTCCTCCCCAATCTCAGTGCTGCAATTCCACTGCTGTGCCAGAGTTAACTGAGGTGAACCAAATATGCCTAAAGCCAACCCATCCTAGCTCAAATACTGACAAGATCTAAAAGGCCAGGCGTGGTGGCTCACGCCTGTAATCCCAGCACTTTGGGAGGCTGAGACGGGTAGATCACGAGGTCAGGAGATCGAGACCATCCTGACCAACGTGGTGAAACCTCGTCTCTACTAAAAATACAAAAAAAAAATTAGCTGGGCGTGGTGGTGCACGCCTGTAGTCCCAGCTACTCGGGAGGCTGAGGAAGAATTGCTTGAACCCAGAAGGCAGAGACTGCAGAGATCACAACACTGCACTACAGCCTGGGCACAGTGCGAGACTCCGTCTCAAAACAAACAACAAAAAGGCTGCCGTGGAATGGGACATAGAGGATTAGGCCAAACATGGGTAAACGCAGTGTCATTAATTTGTGGCCCAGCCCCAAAGATGACTTGACTTTTAGAGGAATCTGAATGCAAAGCCCCTTACCCAAACTGAAAAAACGGTTTACATTATGTCAGAAACATGCATAACAAAACCAAAACAGAAGCAAATATTACCTATCAGTTTCCACTGTTCATTTACATCTAATGCCTGGAATGAAATAAAAAATTACAAGACATGTTAAGAAGTAGGAAAGTCTGACCCATAATTAAAAGAAAACACAATAAAAAATGCAAATCCAGATGATCCTGTAATGGGAATTAGCAGACACATAATGTAAAAAAGTATTATTAATACATAAAAGAATGTGCAGACAAAGATGCATGAGGACGAAGAGATGGGGTATACTAGAAGATAAGTAGAAACTCTGATAAAATATATTTTAAAAATTCAAAACCAAAAGCAACAATATCGTGATGTCTGAAATAAAACATGTATTGGTGAGGCTTCTGTGCACTGTGAGAAAAATTCCAACATAAATAAACTAAACCGCAGAGCATAAAATGGAATAAATAAAATGAAAACAGCACCTGTGACCTGTGGGATAATAATATCAAGTAGGGCAACATATGTGTATTTGGAGTTCCAGAGAAAGAGTACAGGTAAAATGGGGAGACTCTAAAGAAATGGGTGGCCAAATTTTCTCAAGCTGGATTAAAAAAAAAATCATTCATAGATCCCCTAAGCTCAGTAAATTCCAAGCCGGACAAGTACAAAGAAAACACACCCAGGGACAAATTGCTGAAAACAAAACTAAAATCCCCGAAGCAGCCAGAGGGGAAAAAGAAGCATTACACACATTAGCACAATAACACAAACGACGCAGCGTTCTTACCAGAAACAATGAAGCCCAGAGGACAGAAGAACATCTTTAAAGAACCAGGGGCACGGGAGACGGGACTGCCAACTGAGAATTCTATATCTAATGAACACGTCCTTAAAAACTGAAGACAAAATAAAGGTGTTTTCAGACAAACAAAAGCTGCACGAATCCATTGCTATAGATGCACACTATTAGAAATGCTGAAAGAAATTCTTTAGGCTGAAGGAAAATAATGGCAGAGGGAAACTCGGACCTACACAAAAGAAATGAAGAACAGTACAAATGGCAAATATATGTGTCTCTATAAAAGACTTGTTTTCCCTTTAATTTTTTAAAAGAACAATTGAACACGTAAAGCAAAAATACTAACAATGTATCACGAGGCTTATAAATACATGTAAATTATATGTAACAACAGCACAAAGGATGGGAGGGAAATCGAATTATATGTTGAAAGGGCTTTACATTATACATCAAATAGCAATATATGATTTCAAAGGAGATTGAGGTAAATTAAGGAAATATATTAGGATCCCAAGAGCAATTTCAAAAAGATAATACAAACAGTGTTGTAAATGAAAACCCAATGGAGGAGATAACAATTTTTTTTTTTTTTTTTTTAGAGAGAAAGAGGGAGAGAGAACAGGAGTCTTGCTCTATTGCCCAGGCTGGAATGCAATCTAAAAATAGGTATTAAAAACCTCTTTTATGCCAATAATTGTGCTTAACAGCGGAGACAGGAAGGAATAAGGGAAGAAAATAACAAACAGCCAACCGATATTTCATTTAAGTCTGTGAAATGCTGTGCAAATGCTGAGGAGTGATTTACTTCCAATTATGTGGTCACTTTCAAAATAGGTGTAATGTGATACTGAGCAAAATGTATGTTCTGTGGACCTGGGGTGAAGAACTCTATAAATATTCACTGAGTTTACTTGTTCCAGGTCTGAGTTCAAATCATAGATGTCCCTGTTAATGTTCTATCTTGTTGATCCGTCAAATATTAACAACATGGTGTCAAAGTCTCCCACTATTATTATGTGGGAGTCCAAGTCTCTTTATAAGTCATTGAGAACTTGTCTTATGTATCTGGGTGCTCCTATATTGGGTGCATATATATTTATGATCATTGACTCCTGCTGTTGCATTGATCCTTTTACCATTATGTAATGTCCTTCTTTGTTTCTTTTAGTCTTTGTTACTATGAAAGTCTATTTTGTCAGAGACTTTTTAAACTCCTGTCTTTTTTTGTTTTTTTGTGTGTTTTTTCTGGCTCTCCATTTGATTGGCAAGTTTCCACCAACGCTTTGTTTTGAATCTTTGTGTGTCCTTGCTTATGAGATGGATCTGGATACAGAGTGCTGATGTGTTTTGACTTTTTATTCAATTTGCCTGTCTGTGTCTTTGATTGGGGCATTTAATCCATTTAAATTCAGGATTAATATTGATATTTGTGAGTTTAACATTGTCATTTAATGCTGGCTGGCTATTTTGCCTATTAGTTGATATAAATACTTCATTATGGAGATACTCTTTAACTTTTGGTAAGTTTTTGGGATGACTGATACTGGTTGTTCCTTTCTGTGTGTAATGCTTCTTTCAGAAGCTCTTGTAAAGCAGGCCTGGTGGTGATGAAATCTCTGAGTGTTTGCTTGTTTGTGAAAACTTTTATTTTTCCTTCATTTATGAAGCTTAGTTTGGCTGGATATGAGATTCTGGGTTGAAAATTCTTTTCTTTGAGGATATTGAATATTAACCCCCACTCTCTTCTAGCTTGTAGGGTTTCTGCTGAGAGATCTGCTGTGAGTCTGATAGGCTTCCCTTTATGGGTAACCTGACCTTTCTCTCTAGCTGCCCTTAGAATTTTCTTTTCTTTTTTTTTTTTTTTTGAGATGGAGTTTCACTCTTGTTACCCAGGCTGGAGTGCAATGGTGCAATCTCAGCTCACCGCAACCTCCGCCTCCTGGGTTCAGGCAATTCTCCTGCCTCAGCCTCCCGAGTAGCTGGGATTACAGGCACGCACCACCGTGCCCAGCTAATTTTTTGTATTTTTAGTAGAGACGGGGTTTCACCATGTTGACCAGGATGGTCCCGATCTGCTGACCTTGTGATCCACCCGCCTCGGCCTCCCAAAGTGCTGGGATTACAGGCTTGAGCCACCGCGCCCGGCCTAGAATTTTCTCTTTTATTTCAACCCTGGTGAATCTAACAATTATGTGTCTTGGGGTTACTCTACTTGAGGAATATCTTTGTGGTGTTTTCTGTATTACCTGGGGTTGAGGATTGTCCTAAGTTACTAGGTCAGGAAAGTTTTCCTGAATAATATCCTGAAGAATACTTTCCAGCTTGGATTCATTCTCTTATGACATTCAGGTACACCTATCAAACGTAAATTAGGTCTTTTCACATAGTCCCATATTTCCTGGAGACTTTGCTCATTCCTTTTTACTCTTTCTTCTCTAATCTTGTCTTCTCGTTTTCATTTCACTAAGTTGGTCTTCGACCTCTGATATCCTTTCTTCTCCTTGATCAATTTGACTGTTAAAACCTGTGCATACTTCTCAGAGTTCTCATATAGTATTCTTCAGTTCAATTAATTCACTTATATTCCTCTCTAAATTGTTTATTCTCAGGATTTCGTCAAACCTTTTTTCAAGGTTCTTAGTTTCTTTACATTGGGCTAGAACATGTTCTTTTAACTCACAGAAGTTTCTTATTATCCACCTTCTGAAGCCTAATTCTGTTATTGGAATGCACTCGTTCTCCATCAGGCCTTGTTCCTCTGTGGATGAGGAACTATGATCCTCTGTAGAGGGAGAGGCATTCTGATTTTGAGTATTCTCAGCCTTTTTATGCTGGTTTCTTCCCATCATTGTAAATTTATCCATCTGTCATCTTTGTAATTACCCACTTTCAAATTAGGTCTCTGAGTGGACGTCCAACTTGTTGATTCCCAGCGCCAGAATCTGAGCAACCCACTGCGCCGGCTAAAACAGCGGCATCAAGATTCATGGTGCTTTTCTGCCCTGGAATCTCCGGTCTGGCTTCCCTCCTGAGTCTCTTCCTCAGTCAGCCGAATGGGTGACTCTGCCTTCCTGGAGCTCCAAACGTCAACCAAAAGGGACCCAGTCCTGTTTACTCTGCACCAAGAACCACTGTGCCGAGGCGCCAGCAAAACCACCATGCTGGCCACAAGAGTCGCGCTGGCGACCCGTGGGGCTTCTCCACTGGGAATCTCCTGGTCCATGAGCAACAAAAATTTGTCTGAAAGTATGGCGTCCTCTCGTTCTCTGTGCTTTACCTGGGAGCTACAATCCTGAGCTGCTAGTGACCGGCTATCTTGGCTCTCTCTCCAATAAAATTTGTTAATGTTAAAAAGTCAATCAAAAAGAAGGCAGGGGCTGGGTGCAGTGGCTCACCCCTGTAATCCCAGCACTTTGCGAGGCCAAGGCAGGAGGATCACCTGAGGTCAGGAGTTCAAGACCAGCCTGGCCAACATGGTGAAACCCCGTCTCTGCTAAAAGTACAAAAAAATCAGCTGTATGTGGTAGCAAGCACCTGTAACCACAGCTACTCGGGAGGCTAAGGCAGGAGAATCCCTTGAACCTGAGAGGTGGAGGGTGCAGTGAGCTGAGAACGTGCCATTGCACTCCAGCCTGGGTAACAAGAGTGAAACTTCATCTCAAAAAAAGAAAAAAAAGGGCAGAAAAGGAGAAACAATACTGCAAGGAACAAACATGAAAGGTTGAAAACAATTATCAAGATTACAGGTAGACTTAAACCCAGCTATATCAATAATTACATTAAATATAAATGGGCTACATACTACAATTAAAAGACAGCATGTCAGACTGAATTAAAAAACCAAACTACCAAACTTCCCTGTATTCTGCTTAACAGAGATACAATTAAAATATAAGAATACATTTAGGTTAAAAGTAAAATAATTTTAAAAAAAGAAATACCATGGCAAAATACTGTGAAAAAACTCGGTGACTTCAAATATATGAGGCAAAAATTGTAAGAACTAAAAAAAGAAAAATAATAAGAGATGAAACCACACTGTAATTGAATATTTAACCTTATTCTATTATAAACTATTGGGAAAACCAGACAAAGTAATTAGTAAGATCATGAAAGATTTTTAAAACACCATCAAACAATTGAACCTAATTAACACATATAGAGGACTACACCCATCAACTACAGAATAAATACTCTTTTCAAGTGCATGTGGTACATTTACCAAGAAAGAACCTTTGCTGGGCCATCAAATAAATCTCAATTAAATGCTAAAGGTCTGAAGTCATGCAGCATATATTCTCTGACAACAA